GCCCAGCTTCATATAATTCTTTAAAGATGCAAAAAGCTAGTTGGCTGCTGGTGGCTCATGACTGTAATTCGAGCTATTCAGGAGGCTGAGATCTGAGGGTTGTGGTTTGAAGCCAGCCTGAGCAGGAAAGTCTGTAAGACCCTTATCTCCAAGTAACCAGCAAAAAGCCAGAAGTAGAGCTGTGGCTCAAGTGGTAGAGGGCCATCCTTGAGCAAAAAAGCTAAAGGAGACAGGTGCTGGTAGCTCATGCCTATAATCCTAGCTACACAGGAGGCTGAGATCTGAGGGTCACGGTTCAAAGCCAGTGCGGGCTTTGTGAGACTCTTATCTCCAACCACCAGAAAAACGGAAGTGGAGCTGTAGCTCAAGTGGTAGAGCGCTTGCCTTAAGCTGAAGAGCTTAGGGACAGTGCCCAGGCCCAGAGTTCAAGCCCCACAAATGACAAAAAAAAAAAAAGCTAAGGATAGTACCCAAACCTTGAGTTCAAGCCCCAGTACTAGTACGCACACACACACACACACACACACACACACAAAGATTACTGGGGGGGGCGGGGGAGGACCAGTGTAGTGTGCTTATATGGAACTACTTTCTGTTAAGTTGAGAGATGATTTTGCATAATCTAATAGCTACACTGCCTTGGAAGCTGAAGAATGCCTTATGACTTAATGCAGTAACATGGCACAAACTAGTGAATATTAAAACAAATCTTAAAAGCAGTATCATGACAAAAAAAATGTGCTTACTTAAGGACTCCACAGGAGAAGGAACCACAAATGCTATTTCTGTCAGGGCATCAGCATAATACAGCACCTTCTTCTGTCCATTGAAAATACTAGCCCCAATATCTTCAGAAGAATTTACTTCATCTAGGAAAAAGAAACTGTGCATTATTGCTTTGGAGTAGAAAAAACAATCTTCCTGTTCCACAAAATATTAAGCAGTTAATAAAGTGCTAATAGAAGGCATTTTTCCACAAGAATTAATTAGTAAGTGCAAATGTTCACTAACATCTTTACACTAGGTTTCAATCATAAATCTTAATTTTCTAGTTTCTGAAACTACAGCAGGCTGCTTCTGATTAGCAGGGCCTTTAATTCATAGTACTGGAGCAGTCCATTTGGAAAAGGTCCCTCTAGGGGTAGGGACAGGACGTATGAGGGGAGGGGAAGGGCTCCAAGCTTGTCTCTCTGCTGCTCCTCCTCATTCTTCCCTGATGATGAGTGATGCCATGGTTCATGCCTGTAATTTTACCAAGCAGGAAGCTGAGATCTCAGTATTGTGTTTCAAAGTTGGCCTCGGCAAGAAAGTCTATGAGGTTCTTATCTCCAATTGCCACCCAAAAAAAAAAGCCAAGAGTTTGTGAATCTGTGGCTCAAGTAGTAGATTGCTAACTATGAGCAACAAAGCTCAGGGACAATGTCCAGGCCCTGAGTTCAAGCCACAGCACTGGTACCAAAAAGAGTACAGAAATATATTCATGTACTGACATCTGCTATCCACTGACAAGAATGAAACACTACTGGGAGCTAGTCAGCTGTCAATTAAAATGAACACAATGTCCTACATAAAGACCAACAACTGCAAAAGAAGTTGGATACACAAAATGAACAAGAAATAAAAATATAAAAGATGCTTACTCTCAGCTATAATTAATAATAGAAAATTTCTCACCTAACAGATTAGAGGATACCTGATGCTGGTGCAGATGTGGCAAACAACTTTAGACCAGAGGCTAGCAAACTTTTTCTGTAAAGGACCAGATAGTAAATATTTTACGTTTTACAAAGAATGTTGGTCTCTGCCACAACTATTTAACTCTACCATTCTAAGATGAAATCAGCCATAGATAACACATAAATTTGAGTAGCTGAGTTCCAATTGTGCTTTACTTATATAACCAGGCAGGAGCAACAGTTTAGACTGGGCAGGCACTTTGCATCTACACAGTGGACACTGACAGCTGCCCCCCAACATTTACTTCACCTACTCCTTCTCTGCAGTAGGCCTGACTCTACATACCAGCTCTATCTCTATCTCTCTTGCCATTGGTACAGGTTGAGATAGTCTAATCACAGTGCTGCTCAGGATTTGGAGAACACCGGGACTGTGAGAATCAGTTAATCTTTTCTTCTGGCTAGTGTGTCATGTGCATGCTGGGAACAGCTTTTCTTATATCATGAGAGAAGGTAGGAAGGGACAGAGATGTGGACAATAGAGCTAGGGCAAAATTGCAACAAAATAAACCTGGAGTGCTGACAAAATAATAATGACAACTAAACCAATCTCTGGAATTTTCAATTACATGAGCTAATAAACAACTTTCAATATTTGAGCTAGTTGTGATCAGGTCTTCCTGCAACCAGAAGCAACCAAATAATATACAATGAAAAATATGCACATCCTCTGAATTATATATTCTATTTATGGTATCTATTTATGGGAATTAGGTATACAGATATACTCAAGTATATCTTTGAAGAGTACATAGTTGGTATTTTTAATGGAAAGCTTGAGAGCATATGACCTTGTTGATAAAAGAACTCTGAAGATTCAAAGCACTGGACATAGGCATTATTCACTTCAGAGATAAATTTCCAGTGACCTCAGGTGCTCAGGACCAAAATGCTTAGCCAGATGAGGCAAAGGTCTTAAGTTTAAATGTATACTGTATTGGTCCTTGTTGCACTGATTACAGTTCCTCACAAGGATTTGTAGAGATGGGTAAGAAACTCTGAGGGTCAGCTGTTCACTACCAAGGATTTCATATAATGTATGTCTCAAGAATGTAATCTTTAACTGACTTTTTTGATAGCCACACGAATCTATAAATCATACTTGCTAATAGAAAACTATTTATCAGATAAAACTCACTTTTTAGGAAACTATTTGTTATAGACACATTTTTATAGAAAATTCAACTTGTTTATCACATTTTAAGATAAGAACTTATCTGCAATATAATAATTATTAATTTTGCATTAGTCCATCTTACCATTATATGTATAAGTACCCTTAAATACACTGGAAATATCCAGAAGCCTACACAGTACAAATTATTAAATGACTCTCTTTTCGTTTATAAACCTGTACTTTTTAAAAACAAGACAACAAAATTATACTAACAGGAGTTAAAGTCAAGAATAACAAGTCAACAAATCAGGCTTTACCTTGTTCAGCCCCTTCACCATCATCGCCACTGTTAATCGACCAACTGGTAGAAACATGTCCTGTCCAACCAGGGTGCCTGCCCACATCTACTGACCAGCCAAGGGAGAGCAAAAATTCTAGGAAATGTGGCTGAACATTTCTGGAAGACTCCACATTCTTTAAAATCTGAAATATATACCAATCACCAACTATCATGAAGGAAACAGAAGAAATTAAATTTACTAAACTTGATTAGCTTTGAAGCTTCTGACGAGTCAAGTCCAGTTCAGAATATTCACTATAATGAGAAACATGTGCTCTGGAGTTAGCAGACTTGGATTGAAGGGAGTTGTTAAGTTTTTAACCTGTCTTGTTTTCTCCATCTGGAGTGGGATAATAATGATAGTCCTAAAGACTAAATGAGATAAGGTAAGTAAAGTCCTGAGCTGCTTTCCTGATAAAATAATTACTGAGCCAAACATAGTCACAAAAACAAAACAGTATTTGCTTTCACAGCTAATGAGAACTTTATTAGTATATCATTATTTAATATAAAGTTTTGGTTTCAAATTGTTAGTCATGGAGCTTCAACTCAGGGACTCGACACTGTCCCTAAACACTTTTGCTCAAGGACAGCACTCTACTACTTTGAACCACAGCTCCACTTCTGATCTTCTGGTTGTTACAGACAATCCTGCCCAGGATGGCTTTGAACTATGATACGCAGATCTCAGCCTCCTGAGTAGCTAGGATTACAGATGTGAGCCACCTAGTGTAATTTGCCACCCAGCTATATTAAAAGTTTTGACAAATGCTAAAAAACTACAAAATGTCAGCAAAAATTAGGTATAATAAATGAGTATAAAGATATCTTTTTCAGTCTAAAGGAGAGAATGCAGTCATTCCAGAAGGTTTATTAAGTACCAAATACATATGCTTGGGCTGTCTACCAACCTCAGAAAGGGGAACTCCTGTTTCTAAAATAGCCTCTCATTCCAAAACAAGAGACTTTAGGAGACATTTGGCAGTCTGGAGGCATTTTGAGTTGTCACAACTGGTATAATGAAGGTAGTGTCTAGTGGGAAAGGTAAAATAGATGCTGCTGAATAATCTAAAATACACCACCAGCCCACAACAAAGAAGTGTCTTGCCCAAGAGGGCAAAAGTGCTGTTGTTAGACACTTAGTTCTAAAGGAAAGAAAGTAAGGAATTTATCTCCAAATTAAAAATGAGAAGGGGAGAAAGGAAAAGAGAATAAGAGGACACAGGAAAAGAGTATATCAAAATTATCTGGGAAATTCAAAACCAAGGTTCCACTGGCCTGTTTAAGCCCTACATCAAAGTTAGTGAAAGCAAGATTGTGGAATCACTATTTATACTAGTCCTAGAGCTTGAACTCAGGGCCTGGGCATTGTTCTTGAATTTTTTTACTTAAGGCTAGTACTTAACTACTTGAGCCACAGCTACACTTCCAGGGTTGTTTTTTTTGTGTGTGGGGGTTCTTTTGAGGGGGGGGGGGGATCCTGGGCTTGAGTTGACTTGGAACCTGGGCACTGTCCCTGAGCCTTTAGTGCTCAAAGCTAGTACTCTACTACTTGAACCATAGTTCCTCTTCTGGATTTTTGGTGGTTAACTGGAGTCTCATGGACTTTCCTGCCTGGGCTGCCTTTGAACTGCAATCCTCAGATCCCAGCTTCCTGAGTAGGTGGATTACAGGCATGAGCCACCAGCATCTGGTTTAGTGAGTTTCTTATGAGGTTATTTGGAAGGAGAGTTCTTTGAAGGGGAAAAAAGCCTATGTTCACTTCTGTAGGCAGACACACTGAACCTAGGGAAAGATGGTCAGTGAATACAGCTGTTTTATTCTTCTTGAGCTGTCAGGCCAAGCTACAGCTCTACTTATTCTAAAGCATGCTTCCTAAGCATCATGGAATTTATTCATGAAGTTCCTGAATTGGTTCACAAGCCTTTAAGCATACATTAAAAAATTTTGTGTATTTATAGTACAAAAATTTCAGAACCTTACCTCTTGGTTTGTTTTCTGACCTGGTTTCATATAGAAAATAAAAACCGTGTCAAAAGGACGACATGGCAAGAGATCTAGATACCCAATGTCATCAAAAAACCCAGGGATCGCAGAATCAAGTGCAATAAGGTGAGGAGGTAGACGACTATTTGCAGGTTCCTACCAAAGAAAGAAAGGAGCCATTATTATCTTTCTTCATTACTCTGAAGATATACTTGCTCAAGGAAGGTATGTATGTACATATGTATGCAGTGACTGAAACAGGGTCTATGTAGTCCAGGCTGGCCAAGAACTCACAATCATCCTTCCTCAGTGTTTGGAATACTGGGATTACAGGCATATACCACCACGCCCACCTTTGTTCACAATCTAATTAGTTAACACTTTTCATATTTCCATACTTCTAGTCCTTTTGCTTTTAAAAATATTAAGATTATCACATGTGCGTGTGTGCGTGTGTGTGTTTGGGTCCTGTTTTCTCTAGAATAATATGTTTTCCATATTTTCAATACAGTCTGTATGTTTCCTGGCCAGTAATAGGGTTTGAACTTAGATCCTTAAGCTTGTTAGGCAGGTGCTCTACCACCTAAGCTATTCCCCAAGCCCTTCTTTGGTTATTTTTCATGCTTTTTGCCTGGAGCAGGTATAGACAGAGAATAGAACTCTGATCTCCCAATCTTTGTCTCCTAGTGACTGGGATTATAGACATGCACTGCCACATCTATTCCTCAGTTTGGCAAATTCTTTCCTTTTTTCTCTTTTTTTTTGAGGCAAAAACTTTGAATGTAAGCCCTGGTTCTTGCTAGGCATTTGCCCCACTTGCTTTAACTTTTTTTTTTCTTCCCAGCTAGAATCTTATGTTCTACTCAGAAGGCCCAGCCTCAGACCATGATCCTCCTACCTTCTGAAACCTCTCATGCAGCGTGGGTGCCAGGTGTATACTATCATGCCTGACTAATAAGCAACATCTTGCCTCGAAATCTTCAGCTGTACTTTTCCAAAGAAACTGACCTTAGAATAACTTGCTCAAATCCACCATTGGGCAAGATATTTCACATTTTTTTAGCCTGTATTCATATCTGTAAAATAAGGACTTGTTTGGTAAAATTGATTTCTAAAGTTGTTTTGTAAATTTGATTTGTAAAATTGTTTTAATGGATATTGGCAACACTAAAATATTTAGTTTATAGGCTGGTTTCCTTTGTGTTAAATACAATACAAAGTCTTACATGTGTTGACTCACCTAATGTTGATATAGCCAATTAGATGCATACATTATCATCTCACCTTACAGATATAGAACTAAGATTCAGAAGAGCTGAGTACTTGTCCACCATAACACAGCTGAGTAGCAGTGATGCCAGAACATAAATGTGTACAAGGGCACAAGCTAAGAAGGGATTGGCTTACAAATACTATGGAATTAAGCTAGAGATGTAGCTAATTAGTAGAGCATAGACATAGCTCTAAGTATACAAAAGACTCTAGCATATACAAGTCTCTACATTTGATTCCCAGCACTGCAACAAAAAAGGGAAAAAAAAAAAGAAAAAACTACATAATTTACTTCTTTTTGAAAACAATATTAAAGAGCTGAGTTAACTTTCAGTAAGAAAGTTTAGTAGATGGGGCTGGGAAGGTGGCTCAGTGGTAGAGCGCATACCTTGCATGCCAGAGGCCCTGGGTTCAATTCCTCAGCACCACATAAGCAAAAAGAAAAAAGCCGGAAGTGGC